TTCTCAACATGCCCTAATGAGATTCACGGATGAAGATGCATGGCACTCAACAGGAGACGGTGTTATTTATATACACGGACCAGAGGAGACAAATGTGCACTTTTGCCCCTTGCAAGGCAACTTGCACATCTCCATCATACCCGCAACCACAGAAAACCCCACGCTTCTCTATTATGTTTCCATAGGGTTGGCTTTCTTTTGTTTTACACCACACGACTGTACTACAACTACGTCTTTTATACCCCTTTTGATACGACTGGTTTAATGAGGCAGAGAGCAGAGAGGCAGTAAAGATTTGAATATTGAATTTCTCATTCGGTATGGGGAAACCTCCATCGATATATACAGGCGACTCGCTTCCCACACCGGTCCCCAACCGTCACGCACCACTCCATGCAAAACACATACGACGTAACAGGGGTCTAGCAATCTATAGACGACTTCATAGCTTCGCAGCTTCCTGGACGGTGCCAATCTTCAGCTTGCCGCCGTACCTCTCCAGGACCTTGTCGTTGTGGTACTTCCAGAAGGCCTTGGTGGCATTCTTGCCGGCGAAGCGCTTGAGGATCTTCGCACCGCCGGGGTGGTCGTCCTTGAAGGCTAGATAGAGTGAGAGGGTTTCAGCGTCAGTAGTTCGGTTCGGTTCGGTTCGGTTCGGACCGGGACGGGACGGGGGAATGAAAGAAAGAAACGAACAGGTCAGGTCGTAGACGCCGTCTTCGACGATAATCCACAGGCTGGAGTCGTCCTTGTGCTTGGCTACCTCGGCGGGGGTGAAGGTCTTGGACATTTTGACGAGAGAGAGGCGGGAGAGGTCTTGGGTCTGTTTCGTTGAAGGATTGAAGTGGATTGCACGGTTCAAAGCCTAAGGGTCTGCTCGAGAGGAGGTGGTGGAGATGCAATGGGATGGATAGATGGTCGTGGAGAGTGTGGAGAGTGGCACGTGTCTGTTAAGTATATATGATGGACGAAATGAGAATGAGAAGAGAAGAGGTGTCAGTCCAGAGGCAGAGGACGGATATCGGTCAAGTGGTTGCCGACGAGAGACGATGATAGGTAAGCAAAAAAAGGCCCTGGCGCGTGAACCTCGGCTCGTTTCCCCACACGCGCAGGGATGAGCTTGTTTAGGTAAGGTACCTAGCTAGGATTCGGAAGCGGGGGCGAATCGGACGGGAGATATTATTCATCTTATTCAGCACAAAGTAAGGTACCTAGTAGGTACCTTAGGTACGCGGGTACCTTGAGTTACCTTATTCCGGAGAGGAGGTTACTCTCATATCTCCCATCTCCATCCCTGGCAGCGTGAGAAGACAATTCCATTTTCCAATAGATGAGAGTCCGTGTAAATGTAAATGACTAGCTCACATGTTTCTCCTCTAGACGTCAGACCCCCTTCTGCTCCTTTTATCTTCACATGGCCCAGAGAGTCCAGACCCTTTTCGAAGGTCCTCACATCATGACAATACCCCTCGCCATAGCCTGGCGGAAGGAATCGGCAAAAGAAGACGTGGTGGCATAGCAGTCGCTGGCACGCCACTTCTCCATGGCCTCGGGCAGCCACGACTCGACCTTCTCGATGCGGCGCTGGTTGGACGGGTGGGTGCTCAGCAGCTCAGGCACATCCTCGCCGCGGTTCCTCGCGGCGGCCTCCATGCGGCGCCAGAAGCCGACGGCCTCGCGCGGGTCGTAACAGGCGTCGGCCATGATCATGAGCCCGATGTAGTCGGCCTCGGTCTCCTGCATGCGGCTCATGGGCATGGAGAAGAGGACGTCCATCAGACCGCCGCCCAGGCTGTGGACGAGGAGCATGCCGCCGGGGACCATGTAGGCGAGGAAGTACAGGCTGTAGAGGACGATGTTGATGCCGATGGCGCCGCTCATGCGCTCGCCGACGTGCGACGCCATGTTGTGCGCCATCTCGTGGCCCAGCACCGCCGCCAGGCCCGCCTCGCTCCGCGTCGCCCGCAGGATGCCGCTGTGCACGAACACTTTCCCGCCGGGGAGCACGAACGCGTTCATGGTGTGCGGGTCGTCGATCACCCGGACCTCCCAGTCGACCTCGCTCTTGCTGCTCTTCGTACCCCTGCCGCCTCCGCCGCCGCCGCCGCCGCCTCCGCCCTCGTCTCCCCACACGGTGTCGCCCTGCGCGTCGGTGGGGAGCTCGCCACCCCCCGAGGCCGGGATGAGACGCTGCATGACGCGCTTGACGAGACGGACGCGAGGGTCCCAGTCGGGGAGGAAGCGGCCCCCCGCGCGTTCCACCTCGTACTCGATGCGGCGGACCTGCTCGGCGCTCAGGGCGGCGACGGCTTCGTCCGAGAAGCAGTTGAAGCGGCGGCGGCCCGACACGGGCACGGTTTGGATGTTGCTAAAGTAGAAGAGGACGGCGGCGGCCACGGCGACGATGGCTACCGTCTTGGTGCGAGGACTCCGGGCCGTGCGGCGGATGGTGGTGGTCGTCACGAGGGGGCGGGCCTTGCGGAGCTGTTCCTCCAGGTCATGTTTGTGGATGTATAGCCGAGTGGTCGTTGTGTGGGAGAATCTTCGGCGGAGGACGTGAAGGTGGACGACGACGGCAGGGGTAGGAGGCCGAGGGAAGGATGGAGCGCATGTGCATGGACATTTGGTGGATGGTGGTCGATGTGAAAGCGGGATGTAGCGTGGCGATGCGAAAGAAAATGTCCGCCCATAGCTGGCAGCCGCGGACGGACGCGGCAACAGCGTGCGGAAGGGCAACATAGGGATCGACGACGACGACGGTGGTTACGTGTTGACAATAAAGACCGAAAGTCTGCTCCGGGGCGATGTGATGACGATGAGAGGTCCTCCGTTATGTGACGTCGGCCCCCTACAGGGCCCCAAGTTGTCACGACCACAATATACACGTACTAAAGAGGCTCCGCTCCGATCAATCGACGATCTCTAGGCGAATCGGAATGCCCACGTAGGATGATTGTGGTGTAGGAGATGTCGTGATGTTCGAGTTGAAGACTGGTGGACTTTCGAAGTTGCCAGAACCCGGCTGTTGTATTTGTACCCATAATTGTCACGGAAGGACGGAGATAAGATATAACGGTGTTAGTAAGATAAGATACGATGATAAGGTACTGATAGGGTGATGACATGATTGACCCTCTCCACTTTTTGGAGGTTATAAGCTTTTTCCGTTCCTCAAGCAAATACTTCCCCCCGGGCCACCTTATGGCCTTTTACAGTGTTTTACGGTCAATATTTCCTTACAGTATGTATCGGTACCGACCGTACTAACAGTTCGGTACCGCTACTTCTTTAATATATAGCTTTTCCAGCATATCGCAATGTCAGTTTGACAAAAGTGCAGTGCCCGTAAATCTAACGTTGATACTGTCTTTTGGATATTCCCTTTTGTTTTGCTATGATCTGCGGCGCACGTAAGAGTTTCTCGCCCCCTTTATTACACCTAAGCTCCGTACGGGGCTTTTATTACTTAATCTCTCCCGAGTACTCCGGATCAGATGACTTTATCCCAAGTATCCGGACCAGACTTGTCCGACAGACGACGTTGAGCTAATACCCGGAGCCAGGGGCATATCCATCCTCTTATTTATGTAGGCCCCTTGTTTAATTCCAACTCCTCTGCGGTTTGATCTCTTGGATATTTCTACTGCGCCGCCTTACATTGCTCGCCCCGGTTATATTGAGCATCATTCTGTGAAATCATCTTTTGCTTCACAATAGACTTGACCACCATTTCCTGCTCCGTTCTTTTTATATATAGTTTGGCCTGGTAGAACCAAATCTACCATGGGCTCCAAATCCCCTGACATTCCCCTCTCCAACATCCCTTCCTCACCCCCATTCACACCGTCCCGGAACCTCACGGAACCCCCCCGAAGCTCGAGTTCTCATCAAACACCTCTCCCTGACCTCGCACATCGAAGGCGGCTTCTTCGCCCAAACCGACCGCTAGGAGCTGGTCCCACTCGGACCAGATGGATAGAGAGATAGATGGGGTAGACCCTATTAGAAACACCGAATCACCTAGATTTTATTGAGCGAGTATTTTATCGAGCCGCGAGACGCCCAACACCTGCGTTCCATTCACATGCAAAGAAGAGTTGACTAATGCCGCCCCCCCCCCCCCCCCCTCTGACCCGACCTGCACCGCCCTAAAGTGACCTGTAAATGCTTCATGGTTCATAGCTCCCGTCGTCCAGAAATGAGCAATGCGATCGCAATGTGCATTCCTCGAAAATAGTGCAGTCATGTATGTGTAACTGCTCAACCCCGGCGTCTTTCACAATCCGTCCGTCTTCTGGCCACCTCGGCTGGATCATGTCGTCATGCCAACTTCCTCGGCCGTCGTCGATGTCATCTCGTGTGGGAACGGTTTCCGGCCGTAGACGACGTAGATTTTGGCGTACGTGTGGATATAAAGGTTGGAAATATCTTTTCTCACGTCCACAAGTGAGACCTATTCCAAAGACCATGTTGGTCAACCGCCGTCGGTGGGAAAAAGAAAAGAAGAAAAAAGGGGAAAAAAAAAAAAAAAAAAACTGACCTCAATTTCTTCAGGTTTGCGCCCCAACACTTGTGTAAACAACGACAAGGAAAACCCGCTAATGCCACTCAACATGTTCTGTTCCCAGAGCCTACCAAGGGCCTTGTATCTCGGGTCCTTGGCCCAGCCGTTCATGGGAACCTTGAACACCTTCTCGTGGACGTCGACGAACCCGGCCTCCAGGAACCACTGCTTGAAGACGTGCGCCACGGAGAGGGGCCGGTTCGCCAGCCGGCTGGCCATGTTCATTTCGTCGAACCAGCGCTGGAGGGCGCTGGAGGGCGTCAACGTCCCGTCGTCCGAGTGCCCTTCGCAGTTGAAGTCCTGCGCCTCGAACCAGCCGCCCGGGCCCAGGTTGTCGAAGGCTTGCTGGATGATCTCGTTCTTGAAGTCGCCGAAGGAGCCGAGGCTGCTTCGGATGAAGATGTAGTCGAAGGGCTCATTCCAGTCCCATGGCTGGGCGCTTTATAAGACGGGGTCGGGCATGTCAAATATCAGTTGCCAGGGGGCCAAAAAAAAAAAAAAAAAAAGAAAAAGAAACTCACGCATCCTGGACAAAGAAATGGACGTTGGACGGCACGGCGGTGGGTTGTATGGGCGATAAATCGATCCCGTACACACGGGCCTCGGGGAAGCGATCTCCCATCTCTAGCGCCCACATGCCCGTGCCCGTGCCGACGTCGAGAATGCGGCGCGGAGGCCCGTTGGCTGTGATGGGAGCGAGATACCACCGCCCGCCGAACAGCTCTGCCATGACAAGCCCTTGGAGTTCTAGCCGCTCCTGCTCGGGCGAGTCGTTGGGGAAGCGGTACGCTGCAGACTCCCATGCATCAGTACATTGACACTCATGCGAAAAGACAAAAAGGCGATAACATGCGGAATCACGGCATGTCCCGTTCGTTACAAACCGGGCGAGAAACCTACAGCCATCCTGATACGCGTGGTAGGTCCGACCAAACCGTTCAGGGAAGTTGGCGATGCTCTCCGTGATGGACTCGGAATTCCTGTCGATACTTTTTAGTCTCTCTTGGAACATGCGAGAGAAAGGGAACAGGGGATTGTTCGTACTCTTCAAAGCTTGGCTATAGACGTGGACAAGCAAAAGGAGACAGAGCCATGGTTAGTGGTAAGGAGAGTTCGGCGAGGTTCAGGGGGGCCGTTTCTTCGTGCAAAGCGCGCCGGGGGGTTGGGGAGGGGGGGGGGCATACATGGGGGTCGACCTCGAGCTGGGAGTGATTACTTAGTGATCTTCGATCGGGGATCGCCTCGAATGTGAATGCATAGTCGTCGCGTGCGATACCCGGCGACATGAGTGCCAGGAAGAAGTAAAAGGAAAAGAAAAAGAAAAAGAAAAAGAGAAAGAGAAAGAGAAAAAAATCCGATTTCCGAGTTTTTGTTGATCGGTTTGTCGGACTCTTACTGGACAAGTGCAGAGCTCGAGTCGCAGCGGCGAGGTCTTGGTGACAGAACTGGGCAGAGGCTGGGTCCAAAATACAATCAAAAGGTGTCGAGAGATGACCGGTCGATCGGGATGACGATGAAGCTACAAGTCTGGCTCGGTCGTAGATGTAGATTGGCAAGTCGCTGTCGAGGAGAGGATGATAGGAGTAGGAGGAATTGTGGCAGCTTCCTTCCTTCGGTGATAAGAGATTGAGCGCGTTCTGGGCCGGCAATAGCAGGTGAGGTGAGCTTTTCTGTTCCTGTTATACGGTATACTAGACGCGACAATGACTGACGATCGGAATAGACGACAGGCGAAAGGCGAAAGCTGAGGGAGAGGGACGAGGGAGAAGAGGGATTGGATTTTGAAATAAAGGTGTGAGAGAGCGACAAAATGACAAGGCGAACGACCCTGGGATGGCGGTGAAATTTAGGGGGGTTAATTATAAAATAAAGAGGGACCAGGATGATATAGGGTGATATACGTACATGCAGCTAGTTTCAACGCCGATGGACCTTATATCCTACCTGTGTGGGAGCTAAGGACGAAGTATGTATAGACGGGTAGCCGACGGGTAGAAGATGGAACAGCCTGGAAGTCGAAGGGGTGACGGATTGTCGGGTTCGCGCCAACCTGGAAGTACGTTGTAACTCCTCCCTACTCCGTACAAAGTAATACATACCTACGGTGCCATATGAGGTACGTTCGACGTTGTACACAACCAATATCAATACCGCTTTGGAAGCTACCTCGCTACCTCCCGCCAAGTACGGATATGTACGTAGTATTATTACAAAAGCCCAGGATCGGACTGGTCGAAAAGGGACGCGGGGGTCAGGGAGTATGTGGTACTACATGAGGGCCAGAATTACAAAGCTTTGAAGCTGAAAGCATGGGAAAAACCCGGTGTTGTGGGAAGGGGGGGGGGGGCTCAATGAGGAGACGAGAGACAGAGAGGAGGGGTAACCACACCAACTTGATTGGGATGGGCCCGAAATGGCGGCCATGGTCCTGGGCTCTACTCAGTAATACGCTGTAATTACCGAGTAATACCGACAGATCTGCGATGCTATAAATACGTGTATATACCTTGGGTAGGTGACAAACAAAACACCCAAAAACACACTTGCCCTCCCTCAAATCTTCGTAGTTTCGTTCTTTCTCCGTTACCTTCTCCAAGAACCAGATGATCGCGGCCGCACGAATTAGAACAGTGCCAACTTGCCAAGTGCCATGCAAGAGGCTTGGTTGCACGCGCCAAGTCTGCCGGTTGAAGGCGCGAGAGCCGATCGATTATGAAAAGGGAAAAACAGGGAGGGCCTGCCGTGGATGGTTGGAAGAGGCTGTCATGTGAGGCGCTGAGAGGGTTCCGCAGTGCCGGGTTCGGCAGTCAAAACGGGGAGAGAGGGGAAGGTATGTACGGAAAATACAAGTAGTGTTAGGGACGTCGATCCAGAAAACAACAGAGCAATAATATTGGGGCCAACATGGAGAAAAATAGGAAGAAACAACCCTTTGCCAGATGTTCTTTTCCCTTCTTTTCCCTTCTTTTCCCTTCTCTCTTCTCCTTTCCCCCTTTGCCATGATTGAGGAGGAATTGGGCTCAGAAGAAGCAAAGACGAAGACCCAGTTGTGTGGGCCAGTTCCATTGACGGTTTTGATTTGCGGGAATATAATAAACCGACCAGGTTGTGGGTACAAAGAAGGACAGAAAGCCCGGAAGATCACTTCAAGCACGCAAGGACCCTGTCAGCTCCTTGCATGAGAAAAAAGGAACGTAAACCAATAATTATAAACTAACTTGGGGCTCCTTGCTTGTCTACAACGTACGAGTTCCTGCCTAGCCCATGGAGGTCTTGGCGCTTATACTCTTGAATTCCCCCTTAAAAACCCTCTGCTAACGTCCAACCGTCTCCGGGTATGGTTTGGCACAGGCGCACCGACAATAAAGTAAAACTCATTTGAAGAGCGACAGATCTTAAAGTGGAAACGTTTCGAGAGAGATGTGATGTAGTTGCCTCGTTATTAGTTATGATCCAACAGGGCGGGTTTATACTCCGCAAAATGCTGACCCAGGTATTTGGGTCGGTCGGGCCCGGACAGGGCTAGACACTAATTAATTACTCGCAGTCCGACCACGGACCATACTCGCTTCCAAGGTCGTGCCGTATACTTGGGACTCTTTGCCCTCCCTCCCGTCTGGTTGATATCGTTGAGGAGCCTGGACGACGGCGGTTAGAAGACTGAGAAACCGGGGAG